GTCTTTCAATGAATACAAAAAAGAGGAGAAACTAGAAGAGGAAGAGATTTCTCCACAAAATTTTTGTTCTGAGCAATTTCCTCTGGAGGAAAGGATTGAAACGGAAGAAAAAATTGAGCCGACTGATTTCACTCGCTGTGTAAAAGTTAGTTAGCTTTGCTATTAGAATTGTTCCAGTTGCATGTCATTACTTATCACCGCATTAAGGTTAAAGCTAAACTTGAAGAAAAATACTTATTGGAAAGTGGTTTATGCCATCAGCCATTGTGCAAATGCCAGGAAAATCCAAGTCGTCTAAGAAATGCTGAAGAGGACAGCGGGGAGTGAGTTTTCAGACTTATAAAAAAATTGGCTATAAGGCTTCCACTGTCAATCGAGAAATGGTCTTATAAGAAATGCAGTCCTTGCCTTACTATGTAGGAAAATGTTGAATGAAAGAGAATTTTTTCAGAATTAGAACAATTTCTAGTCTTAGACTGTAGAAACAATAATGAGATTGTGTCACCCCATTTCGTAACATTTTTCCTTTCCAGCTCAATCCATGATCTAACCAAAACTTTAGGCTTCAATTTTCATTTTTGCAAATATCCACTGTCGAGTGAATCTTCCAAAAATTTGTGAGCGACTTTGTAATACATTTTGAATTAACATAATTTAAGAGTTCGTTAAAAATATTGTTTAAAAAGAATAATTATCTAGCATTTGGAAATGGCTATATTAAGCACAAATAAAAAAATTCACAAATTTACTTATCTTTTAATTTGACTTAACAAATCAAGCGTCTTTTTTACAACATCGCAGTTTGTCAGTAGGTAAGTAAGCGGCTAAACACATAATCTAAAAAGTAGGCAACTCCAAATATTTTCATAAGGCAAAAAACGCACGGTGAGAAAGAGAGAAAGATGTAACATTCACTAACTTCATAACTTGAAATTACCAAATACCTCCGACCTAATTGTTGCTAATTAAATTATTGTTTTTGTTTACGTTCATGCAGCATATTTGATATGAAAAAGAACAGAGTGCAGTACCGTTTAGCGATTTACTTAACCTCCACTGCTGATTCTTCGCACTTGTCATTTACTGATTTATTGAATGATTTTAGGGCGACTCCTCCTTACATCGACGGGAAGCCTATGTGGCATTACAATATCGGAAATGACATGGCTGAAAATCTTCAGGATCTCAACGCCACGGAAACCGATCCTATGAACACTTGTGACTCTTATACTGTCAAAGCCGAGCCTCTGGAGGAGGTCGAGCATAATGACTACAAATCGGGACGGAACACAGTGAAAACTGAGATGACAGAAGGTTCTCCGCGAATGAATACCATAGAAGCGAATCCTTTGAATGGATCTTCTACTTACGGCACAACGAAGAGCGAAACAACTGATT